TACTGAAAGTCGATACGGGTTACTCGTACTTGCTTGGAGATATTAAAAATGCAAATCTTTCAACGGAAAAACAAATCACTGAAAGTATGGTGACGGACACGAAAGCCAAAGTCTACAAACAATTGCTGTGTAGTTATGTGTTCTTTTGCCGACATTCCATGGACTTGATTAAACTTCAGGAACACAGAAGATACGGCTCAATTAAAATCAAAGACACCGGTTTCCAAAATCAAATTGTCAATATGTTCTCCGTTTTGAAACATCTCGGTACGGTCAACTTTTATGGCTGATGTATGTGTATATAGAATGTGTGAAAACCTATCAAGAAACATATTATGTTAATAGGTCCAATGATGTTGACCGTTATTCGTACCAACACGGCATGGTCTATAATGAACTCACACAGTTCACCGACAAAAAATGCGACCCGGATAACTTGTACAACAATCAAAACGATAAGTCCGACTACTTTAAACAAATACAAGATCTCAGTAATTCTACCGATATGTCGGTAATAAGCACATTTGCCGATAATATCGAGTCGGCTGAACGCCGATATTCTGAAATAAAAGAAGTCCTAAGCCTCCGTGACGACGACGAGTTGTCTTTTTCAATTGATGATTTGTTTTTGAAGCACATTACATTTAACAATGAAATTACAGAAACGTTGTTAAGACAATTCGCAGAGGCGGATGAATGGGAAGATGTACAAAAAGCACTAAGTTGTCGCTGCGACGGTCATCTACCATTGGTCTCCGTTCGAAAATTAATCGAAGACGTCAGCGCGTGTCAGGATTTTTTTATTAATATAATGAAGTACATTGTCGCTCTAGCTGCCACGAAGTATGTCAAAGATGTACATTCGTCGTTGGTTTTGTCGGCAAACGGAAAACGGTCAACAGAGGAATTGGAAAAATGGATTTCAGACAGTAACTTAATGACGACCAACGAAACTATGTTGAGTATCTATGAAGATATAGTCTTATTTTTAAAATTCGACCAAGACAATGATTTAAAATTCTTCACTGAAATGTTCAGTCCGGATGTGCATGATACGTTTGGTGATCCAGAGAAGATTATCGCCAACGAAAACCGAATCAACGACATACTGAAAAAATTGTCGAAAAAAGTAACCGATTACGGATATGATAATACGCTAATGACGGAAATTTCACTTACCCATCATTACAAAAGTCAGAGAAAGGAGGAATTGCTTGAATTGTCAAAACTTCATGAAATTAAAGTAATCGATACGGATGGCAATGCATACGAAGGCATGCTCGACCTTATTGTGTTTAAAAGCTATATTGCCAAACTATTTGTTGCTCACTCTGACATTTTTTATTCATTTTTCGAACTATCTGGGAAAATTAAATTTGAAACTTCTCGTTCTTTTCATACATTTTTTAAATAAATAATTTTATATGTTATCCATTTTGATAAGATTTTTAGAATGGTGTTCTTATTTGGGTTTTATTTATTACCAATTGTCTTAAAGACAAATATGTTTGATATGGGTTTTATTAAGATACAATTTTTAAAATTGCGTTTTTGATTGGGTTTTATTTATTATAAATTGTTTTGAAAAGAAAAATGTCAGTTGTTTTGTAAAAAAAAAAATTATTACAATTCATTTTTATTGTTTTGGGTATTTTTAATATTTGAATGTTTGTTTTTCATTTAAAATTATATATTTTTACAGAATAAACATAAAATGACATGATTAATCAAATTGAAATGTAGAATGTTAATATATTAATAATGTAATTAGCATTTTTATTTAATTAGATATCTAAAAGATAATTCGATGTTTAATTGTGCATTCACGTATGGATCTGTGTGGTAAACCTTTAATCAAATGCAGGCTTATAACCTTAAATAAAATATTGTGTATAGTGAAAATGTATATGTTTCATAAAAAATCGAATTAAACTATTCATCAAGGTTTATAAATTATTTTATATTATTATAAAATATATTTTATTTTTATATATTAACAACATTAAAATTTTGTTTATATTATAATATTACATTTGAATTTGCATAAAAGGCATACTGTATTATATCATAGAAGTTATATAATTATATAATTTTTGTGAATATAAATTATAACAATGTTTCATACCGTGGATTTAATGTTTATTTTTTTAAATATTAAAAAAACTAGTAATACAAATTTTATTATTTTTTTATCTCTGCTTACTAATTTTACATTTCTTTTAATTTAGGTTATTTTTCATGAAAAGCTTTTATTTTTTCAAAACTTTTATGCAACTGTTTTGTTAACAGTTTCATGACTCATGTACATTTTTGAAAAAGTTCTGAAACTCTTTTAAACTTTTATGAAGATCACGCGCTGTACCAAAATTACGAATTTTTTAGTTGTGTTGTGTCATACACAACTATCATGTGTTATATTATGTAATTAAAATTAAGCCTAAACAACCAAGTAAATTGTAATTAATAAAGTGATAATGCATTTGTAAAGGTCTCGTGCGGTTGTGTTATGTGTACACAAGGTTACTCATAAGTACAAATAACTAATTTATATTAATATAACTACAACTACTGTTTGTGAGGCTGTTAAAGGTAATAGTATAACATAAAATGTCATATTAATATATTGTATTACATTTAAAGCAGTAACTGTTGACTTTAAATAACACAAATAATATAATATATATATATATATATATATATATATATATACATTTGAGGTTGTACCAAACGATTCAATCTAAATTAATGTTGTAGTGACTCATTTAGATTAACAGCGGTAATTCTGATTCGCTACATAACTCACACGCAATTTATTTAAAACCAATTAAAATGTATTTGAAACCAAGTAAAAAAGAAAACTCGACTAAACTGAACTTTTGTGAATATTCCGATTGGATGTTTTTTTATTTGTTACAAAAAACAACTATATTATACTATTTTATGTAACACAAATGGTTTACGCTTAGAGCATAATATATAAGAATATTTTTATTGTGCTCACTCTTTACACAGTGTTGGTGGCTTTGAAGAGAACGTCAGACGTCATCACCTTGTATAACTCTTCAGTTTAAAAGCCATAAAGTTAGGTCAGACGTTTGCAATTATTTTGTGATAGTACCAACATGGTGTGGCGCGTGCACATTTATACTACTGATATATACACACCTAGAACAATATAGATTAATAATATCATTCAAGCATCCCGGCCAGTCTGTCCACACCATTTGGTCGTGCTTATACCTAGGATTAGTATTATAAACCTTTATAAGGATTTTCAATGACATTTTCCGGCGTTATAAAAACGACCGGATCGCCGTCGAACGGAGAGGGTATCGTTTTGTTTTAGGTTTTTGCTTTTTTTTTTTTTGTAGTTTTAACCGGAGTTGGCTAATTACACCGTCACCGTTTATACCGTGTGATCGGTCAATCTGTCCCGTACCGATATAGTAGGCCGTAGCCTCCCCTTGCACGGATAAAACCTTTCTCTAGGGGAAACGGTCCGCCGACGCCCAAAGATATACGGTCCGATCGCCGCCCGCTTGGCAGTGTCGATAAATTTTAAAGAAACACCCTGCCATGTATATTATATGTACATACATAAAGGGTACGATATACATATACACGATGCGAGAAAGGGAGACGGACAGGGGCTGCGAGTAACATGATCGTGTACTCCTCTATCTGTTCGCGTGGCATTGTTTATCCGTCTAATTCGCTACCGTTTTGGCCACCGACTTTTCAATGACCCTATCGCGTGCCTTCCCCTCTACCGGCTCTCGAAATGACCTGTTGTTATTCCTATACACATACGTATAGCCCTTTACAGCCAGGGGGGGTTGGGGGTTGTTGTTTCGGTGGAAAACCTACGCTGATCGCCCCGTCGGACAGACATGTCTGTATTATGTTTGCAGTGCACATCAAACGTTACGGGTACGACCTTTAAATTGGCAAGTAAGTTTGGATGTATAAGGCCCTCTTCACTCGACCGTTTACGCATTGTACCTGCAAGCCAGCCAAACGTTTGAATTTTCAGAAAACGCCAAATTTGCACATCCACAACATATAATATAGTCTGTTAAGCGCAACTGTACGATTTTCCACAAAAATAGCCGACAATGTTTAACCCGTTACTTGGCACCGTATATTTACAGATAGATATTGTATTTTGTACATAACTTTCCTTGGCCAATCTGATAATTTATCGTAATTATTGTTGTTATTTAAAAAATAGCCCTTGACGAGTCAAGGTAAGCACTTGAAATCATTTTTTGAGGGTATGTAATGCGTATAGAATACATTCGGCTGTATTTTTACCAGAAGACTATAAATACATTTCATGGGACTTATTATTACTTAAGATTTTGTGCATAGGTGAATAATAATTGTTTCAGCACTCATTAATCTTATTTGTATCTATTATTGTATTTAGTTTCGAAGTGCATGTCTTAGGATTTATCTTCTATTCATGACGAACCATATTTTTTCTGTAGACTATATCTATGTATCAAACAGTCTAATAAATTTAAAGTGATCCGCTTAATTTCTCAGGAAAATCGTTACAGTTTTGTAGTTTTTCATTTTGGAAATTTGTTTTTTTATGTTATTTTACAATATTATAATTTGCTTTTAAATACTTACTTGTTTTGTGCAGATAAAAATGTATCCATAAACATTAAATATTGCTTATAGTACACTTATTCGAAACTCTATAACCAGCTGTTTACACTTAACCAATTTACGTTCTTTCTCGCTTGAGAAGGATTACTTTAAAGTCTCAAATGTTTGACGATATTACTTCCTGACCAAAATCCCTCACTTTTTTAGTGGTCATTTTTAAGTAATTCAATTAGAATCATTATACTTTTGTAAATAGAGTGTACCTTAGGCGTAACATCTTACACCTGCTCGTCGTAAAGTGATTAGCGTCAAAGTAATTGAAGTCAAACTTATATACACGTCACACAAAGAAAAGACAATATTTAATACGTAATAATGTTCGTCTGAAATTTCATATTTATTTATTTTGATTAAACAATAGTAATTTTTACTTATATACACGATTGAATAGCCTCTGGGCTACTATAAAAGATATACAAAGTGCCACTGTTATACAATCCAATGTTCTAGTAACTGATATCATAATAATAGTTATAATAATAATTATAATAATAGGTAATTCAATGATATAATATAATATTTTTTGTTTTAAAAAAAAATATTCTCGGAAGCAACAAAACACAACAATTACCTATACAAAAATCCAAATGAAAACACTAAGCTAAAAATAGTAGGTACCGAAAATTAGGCGTAGAAAAAAAATACTACTTAGTTTACTTCGCCGGCCAATGACAACAAAATTCTTGGCGTTTTCTACTACTGTGCGACACTATACAAGACAATAATATAATATAATGATAATATTAATAGTAATAGTATAATAATAGAAGATATTCGGGTTAATCGACTGTCGATCATCTTAGAACGACGGCCATGGCTAAGGAAACGCAACCGGCCGACACCATCCAAGTACTCGACGTACACATCAGGGAATAAGCCGAATTAAGTGAGCTGTTGTCTGTCGGTAAGGAGTTCAATACCAAATCGGACGAGGTGTTTTCAATGGACGAATCTGAAGCAAACATAATTATTACCGTATTCGATTAGAGTCATCTTTGAAATGTAAATTGATGGATTATGAAAACTTAAAATCTTATAAGGTATTTTTGTGAATTTGTTAGGCTTGAAAAACGTAGGTCATGATTTTAAGCTTATGATTCTTATGATTAGATTATTTATAAAAAAAAAAAAAAAATGTTAAAACGCATCAATACTGTTGGAGGTTAAAATAGTTTAATAAACATGACTAGTTATTTTAACCTGAAATCAGCTGTTAAAAAATTAGTATTTAGTGACTAAACAAAATTGATTAAACGTGGTTAGTCCATTATAAACCAAATTAATTATATAATGTAGCCAATGGAAGATATATTATTCGTATTTGATTTAATGATAAAAAAAAATGGTAAGTATATTTTCATAATGTTCAAAAAAACCACTTAGTTGTAATATTTAAAACATAGAAAATGTTTGCAGTGAGTCCCATCAAGTAATTTGTACTATTATCACTATCTTATTTCTTATCAAATTGTCATACATTACTAATTATTCTTAATAGCTCTCATTTTTTCTCATCAATTCTTATCACTATCATATCTTTTATTCGCTTATCCTTCCCTATCAAGCAACATTTCTATCACAATTGTAACTTTTATCATCTTTTTTCCCTTAATCCTTCTCTTAATTTCGTATCGAATTGGATTGGGTTGGGATAGCAATAACAAATTCTATGTTTAAATTGTTTTTAAAAATAAGTCAATAAAAAATAATTACTATGTTTAAGCTAATCCAAAATCAAACATCTCAGATGAACCAATTGAAAAGTCTTAAATTTAAGTAAAAAACAACTATGTAGGATAAATATACACGTTTACCTTTGTCAAGTTCGTTGCTGCTGTCAAATTCTTCGACGATTATCATAGGTCTGGAGGGTATTGGAATTTCTGCGAACAAAATTAACCGTTAGTATAATGGTAACTATAGTTTCCCAGCGAGAAATTGATTTCAAATTCAGTATTACAGGTGTTAAGTCTATGGCCTTTGAAGACTTTACACAAAGGTTGAAGATGGTATTTGGAAGTTTTTAATTAAAAGAATACTTTCAATAACAAAGATATGATAAGGTATGTATTTTCATAAGCATAAATTTAATACACAAACAGTATAACAAGAGTCTTGTTGCAGGTACGTTGAGCATAACACAGCCAAGACACTTCTCATTTTGCATGGCGAATCGGCCGGTATTTACGCAAAATTGCCATCCGGGTGGAATGGAAGGAGTCATTGGCATCCCCGCATTGGTGACCTTTTTCAAGTTGTGCAATCGTTAATCCTTGAGTCCGGGTCGTTGGTGAATTGGCAACCTGTCCACTGTTATTCGCGGAACATTGTCGGATACATAATTTATACAATATTTAATGTGTTTATTTGCGCATTTTCGCAATCTCCAGTTGTACAAAGTATACGGTTTCTTAGTAATTGTATAAATAAATTGAATTTATAATTTACATTTATAGTGTTGTTAACCTTTTGATTACGTACAAAGTAGAGAAAAAACCCATTTAATTTATTCAAAAACTAGTAATTTATGTGATTTGATAGTTTTTATTGAATTCAACCCGTCTATATTGTTTTGTTTATAACTCGGTCTTGCTAAAATTGGTCTCGGGGAATTTTAAACAAATATACACACCAATCGTAATATGCTATGCCTAAGTATCGATAGAGGTTTCACAGACGGTGCCCTCTCATCAATTCAAAAGCATAATCAAGCTCTGTCTTTTGATGTCTCTGATCAGTACCAACGCTGTTAGCATAATTTATTACCTTCGTGACCGCTTGGACGTAGGTCAGTCGACCAAATATTTACATTATTATTATGCGTATTCATCACAGAAACATTAAGGACCTGTCGGTCGCCTTTCTTTGAACTAGTTAGACGTAAATCTAATATCTCGTTACCTTCCATTTACTTTCGATGCAATCTCGCAGTCACGTTTATGCCATAAGCAGTCCTAATTTTGAATTTAACTTGAGAGCAAATATAAGTTAATTCATCTCGCTTAGCCGCCCAAACAAAATTCGGATCGATAACCATCATGTATGTAAATATTACACACATATATACATCATGTACAGATAAAACAGCGCAAACTGCTTAATGACCAGTTTCCTTTAGAGCGCAGGAAATTACCACAACACTTTATGATATTGATAGCTGTAATCCAACGTCGGCAGTTTAATAGTAATATAACGACGATGATCAGTGGTGAATCTAGGATTATTCTACGGGGGATGCTGCAATTATTATTAGCAGTCATCGTACGTATTACTTTTTTTTGGGTACGACACCTATCATATTACAAAACAAACCACAGTTAAATAACAATTTTCCTTAATTTTAAGTCATATAAAAAAACTTGTACAAAATATTTTGGCGTATATTATTTGTTTTAGGTATACTTGTTACCAAAATGTATGATTTATTAATAATCTATAATATATCGAGGAATTACACAGACTAATTTAATCAATTTAGTACTGATAGGAATAATAAGAAACTAAATCTGATGAGATAAGAACTGATGTGAACTATTTACCGATTGTTATTTCTCAGATATTGAACTAATGATTGAATGTAACATTTATGAAAACGAGTCTTGGATAATAATTATAAAGCAAGATCGATGTACTCGACATTTCTTGAAGAAAGCAATCGCAGTATCGACCGACGTTATCTAGAAGGTCTTAAGTCGTTTATCGTTGAACGTTTAATACAGTTTAGAAACTGCATTAAAACTGTCACTAACATTCTAGGCTACCGCAGTGGAACAACAACTTTAGTGAAAAATCGCTACACGGATATAATAATAATTATCTTACCTATCGCTTCGTTGGGCATAATATTTCCAGTGTTAAATAATCCGTAAGGTATACTAGATTGCCAACTTGATAAACGGTTAAATTTACAGAAATTATGTCGAAAACAAAAGGAATGATTAAATATACCAGTTTATTTCGTATTTTTATAGCTTTGAATCCATCTATACCGCGGTTAGAAACTTTGTAATTAACTTTTGAAATACAATCTTCACTATAAAAGTAATTATAACATAATTTATTAAAATAGTACTTAAGCTGAGCAAAGTTCTTTATTTTTTAAAACTAGTTTCGGTTTAGTTAAGTTATTATTACTTAGTTATTTGAAAAAAAAAATTAACTCTAGTTGAGTTAACAATTAAGATAGGGTAAAGTCAATTGTTCAAACCGGATAATTCAAGATGTTTATCATGATATATAGTATATTCGTTGAACGTCGTACTATTAACCTTGTCCTTAATAAAACTTACGGTCTAACTTGATGAATCCGTCGGTCTCGCCCAGAGAATTCTTGGCCACACACTTGTACGACCCAAAGTCCTGCGGTGACAATTTTCTAATTTTCAATACCATATACTTGTTGTAACCGTTGTCTGTGGACACAGCCTCGTATTTTTCCCCTGAAACCGTCATATCTACTTTTGTTCAGTTTTTCACAAAATCTCTCGGCCAATACTTACCCGAAACAATCATGTCGCCCTTTTCGGTTGTCCAAAAGTTAATGGACGTGGGGAATGCTTCAGTATGACACTCCAACTTGATGTCCTGGCCAATGTAACCGCCCACCAATTGATTCGATATGGTCAACATGGGCGGGACTATAATAGTATAAAAACAAATATATGACCCATATAAAAATAATATTGAAAAGGAGAGAAGACTAATCAATTAATATAGACGTATGATATCGGCATCATTGTATTATAATGTTTAGCAGTTGGCTTGGAAAAAAAAGCGGAGTTGTTAGAGATATAAAACCACGGATTTATTGATCATTCGTGTGTGAAGTTAACAAGTAGTGGTTATATAGAATTACTAATTTATAAAAACAAATATTATCAAGTACAAAGAATAATTGTTATCCGCCTCAAATAGCTGGAGAGAGCCGAAGGAAAAGAAAAATCAATATGTACAATGTACACTATATTATGTGGTGGTTTTTAGCAAATTAAATTTCTTCGAATGAACACGCGTATTATACTATTTTTGAATAAATACAACAAAATGAGGCAAAAAAAATAATATTAAATTCAAGTATTCGTTGTTGTTATTTTCGACAGAATCCCTTATTTTTTTATAGCTTTACTTGTAACCAAAATGCTGATTCATGATTTGCATCATTTTATTTTAGGCTACTAATTGCCTTAGTTATTGAGACCACAAACTTATTGTACTCTAATGTAAAATCAATATCGCTTGAATGGTTAGGCTATACATAATATACAAAAACTAAAGCGTCTATTTTTTTACCGGATCCGTGTTGGTTAAGTCTATTTAAATTACACAGAAAGCAATTTTTTTTTAAAATATACATCGAGGTTTATGTATACTTACATTGGACTTTGAGCGTGACTCTCTTGCTAATGGACGGAGGTACACCGTTGGAAGCTATACACAAGTACGCTCCCATGTGCAACCGACTTACCCTCGTTATGTGCAAAACTTCGCCATCGACAAAATTAACTACAACAATACACAAGAAAACAATTATTGGAAAAATCACAATATATTATAGTCAGGGCCGAATTTAGGGGGGGGGGGAACTTGATAGGATTTAATTTTTTAACTTTTCTCACGCTTAGGGTTTGTAAGTGGGAGGATTCATGTTAATGTGTTTTTGATACTTTATATTAATTGTATTTTGCTAAACGTTTTTACAGTTACCTTAGAAAACCTTCATAGATTTTTGGATCTATGAATTCATCAATTGAGCATAACGCTTTTTATTTTAACTTATGTGCCCTAATACTTGAGTGATTGAATATTTGTGTCACGCAATCACGCTAAAATGGATGAACCTATCAAGTCGGAAGTAAGTGCACCAATTTCCTAACAGGTATTCATGCACTTGTTATGTCTACACGCAACCATTCTTTTTAGATCCTGTTGTATGGATGTACAACAGGTTTCACCGCTAGTTTAGTGTATTCATTGAATTTTTTTGCCTAAATATTTGTGTGTGTAGAAAAAAATGATGCCCTCCAAAACAAGCGTTACTGATATTTATATATTTCTGAGTTTGATTCCAGATTATGAAAAATAAATGCGCTTTTTATGCGGTGATACTTTTCACGGTTGGTTACTCGTGACAAAATGATACTAAGCACCTAAGAGCAAATCTGTTGGGAAATTTACATTTTAAACATTGCCAATCGTTTTAATATGAATAACTATTAAGGGAGAAGAAGTTTGCCACTTTTCCGCCTCCTAATTACTTCTCTTTCTTTCTGGCGTTGGCGATTCGGAGGGTATATATAACATTTTAAGTGTAATAAAATATGTAAATATTCTTAGTCGAGAAGTTTTGCTTTTCTTCGAGGCGCGTTTCTGCCGTCTCTGTTGCACTGGGAAGACCTAATGAATATGCATGATTTGTGTTGAGACTAAGTATTATTTAGTAAATTTTTATACTTATTGCTGCGTCTACACATTAATCGGTGGCGATAAAAAATATTATCATAACAATATTATCTGATCTTTACGGGGCATCTGTAAAAAAATAAAGACTCAACTTGAAAATTCAAAGACAACTTGAACGAAATCAACTAAAAGCTTTTCCAGTTTAAATATTTAGTAAAGTCTTCAACTACCAGTTATTGTTTTCATTCATTCATTATATCTCAATCAGCAAGATTTGACAAATCGTCTTATATCGTCTTAAAATGGTCTAGAATTTAAAAAATGACGATCAAAATTAATTTTGCCTCAATTTTAGTTAAAAAAAACTTAAATATATCATTTTATACGTTTTTCATAACATCAAACTGAATATTTAACTTAATCGATTCCATTCTTGAAAGACCTAGGGGTGATTTAAACCCTAATTAGGTACGCGAATATTTTTTTTTTTAACTAAAACCCTAAATTATTTTACAAGTACAAGTATTAACAACTAGATTACTTTGATTAATGTTACTTATATCTAATAGTATATTATTTATAGTTAGTTAGTTTCTTAGATTTGTGTCGGTAGTTATTAAAAAAAAAGTAAATAAAAACATATATGTAATATTTGTTTTTATCTTCTAAACATTTACGCGTTCTTGATTACTGTCATCGAATACTTTAATTTTTTTTCAAATAATTCAATGGTAAAAGCACACTTTGAACCGACGACAACAATAGTTGAAGTGACAAGCATTTGAACGCAGACGACGTTTCTGAAGTATTTTGAAAACTAGCAGTAATACAAGTCACATTTTATTTTGCCATTAAAACGGAATGTTGTTTTGAATTCTAAACTTTTCGCAATCGCAAAACACCACACTTGCTTGCGTTGTTTGAAACGACAGTTTCACGTTTGTTTTTATATTTTATAGAACGCGTTCTACGGTTTCATTTTAATACAGTATTATTTTGATTGATCGTTAACACATAGCAGAAGGACCAAAATTACGATTTTGCAAATATATAAAAATCAGAGTTATTCGTATTATCCAGAGTTTAATGGGAAAAAATAACAATAGGGACCGATAGAAAATTATATACAAAAACAGACATTTGCATTGCACCAAATCAAAAAACAGAAACTAAACGTTAATAAGACTAAAAACGCTATAATATTAATTATTTTATTTTATTTAGTTTCATTATATTAATTTCAAATGGGTTGTCTTTAAAGGTCATTGTGTTTGTAATTAACTAAGAAAGGTACCATTTGTAAACAAATGGTGTCATTTTATCTTTCTTATACCATTCTACGCCACATCAATGAAGAAAGTCGCCATTTCCTAACTTTTCAGGAGGAACTAAATGAACATTCATATTTATATTTTTATTATTTATATTTTAATTATTTTTCTAGATTGTTAAAAAACTGAAAAAGTTTAAAAAAAATTAGTTTACAAACTCTTTTGTCCGGGGTGTCAAACTGTCGTTTTGACATGGGCGATTTTTAGTATAAATAAGTCCGGGCAAAATAATCAACCTAAATGTCAAAATTTAGAAATGTTTTGCACTTTTATTTTACGTCGATGGATTTTTCCATTTCTCAAGGAAGTACATTTACTATTCCTTATAAATTTTACCCTACTCTCAGCCCCCCCCCCGCCTCACAAATACAAGTAAAGTAAAAGTATTGCCTGGATCGACTGGGACGGATTTTTCGAAAATATTATATTATAGATTTTATCGGTATTATTGGCGAATTCGTCGGCCGCTCATTTCTGTCTAGTCCGCGAAATGCCTGCGACCAAGCACGACCGGGGAAACCCTATTTCCACTATCTATAAATATATATAAAAATATTTATTTATGACGTAATATTTTCCCGAATAATAATAATAATAATAATATATTAGAAAATTCAATATCGGAGATGCGCGCAGAAAAAAAAAACACACATCATAGTACAACCAAATATAAATATATTATTGCTGTCACCCATATACGGATGGGATATAACACGTGGGCTGCCAAAGTAACCAACTTAGGTTGGCGTACGTGTACTTTTTGTATATATAAACATGTAGGATAAAGATACGACGGTCGATTCCCGGGGGAAGACCGAGTAAAATATAAGGGGCGAGGTATGGTCTGTGACGGTGCCCGGGAGGTCTTAGCAAATCTGTCCGGTCGCATATACCTCCGGCTCTGTGGTTATATATATATATACATGTTATATTTATATAAAAAAAAACCCATATCTTCGCCCTTCTTTGCACGACCATGCCGTCGCCACAGGTCCTTGTGCACACTCTGGTCAAGAACAAAAACGGACGTTCGACGAGTGAACGTATGAAAGGTTCGTTATGTTTTCCCGGGCGACCGTCCGCCCGGACGCAATATATAAATTGCTCGGGGCTAACGTGACTTTTCCTGCCGGGATTCCCGTATAATAATAATAGTAGTAATAATAATATGTGGAAATGTGTCAAACGTGGTCCGAGCCGGAACGACGTGCAAGCGTGTCTTGCAAATTAGCCGATAAGTCATGATGGGACATGTTGAACACTGAATACTCAATATACATAATATGGAAAATGAATGATCGAAAAATGTCTCCCGACCTGGGAGGCAGCCATTTTGTGTACCGATTTCATGGAAAGTAAAAACGCTACGTTTTACTTTTCCATGACTCATATTAAAATTTTAGGTTAGGTGTTGATAGCATGATGATAACTCCGTCATAAATTTAATATATTATAGAAACGTTAAGTCAGGCGATGATAATATGTGTCGTTCATTGTAAGAGTAAAATGATCTCGTTGCAGTTGAATTTTGAAACGACGAGCTTTTTGTAAATTAATGTGTAGGAAAACAAATACAGGTATTCATTCAAAGTTTTCTATTTTCCATTTATTGGAGTTGCTTCTCTTTTATAATGAAAGATAAGTCATATCTTTCATTATAAAATTTGACTCCATTAAGAAAAATAATGGTTTTTTTCAAATTTAGAAGTTACCCCCACTTCTACAATAAACGAAACATTGAAAAAACAAGTAAATATCACGGACAAAACAATAACATAACTCACAAAATGGCAGCCTCCTACTCGTGGACATTTTCATAAGCAATCGACTATAAGCAATACGCGTTCCGGGTTAGGTTAGTTTGTGTGGATCGAGACAGAATAAACATCAACACAAATTGTATAGTTATAATGGTTAAGTAATATTTCACGCTACTATTAATACGATAAAGTAATAATATAAATGTGGCGCCTAGAACACAAGGGGTATATTTTAATAGCATATGGCTAATATAATATACCCCTTGTGTTCTAGGCGCCACAAATATAGTATGTAAATAGAGCGATTAATTTGACTTGTTATACACTGTTAGCCCTCACGAAAATAGATTACAAAAGTGTCTATAATTAAGACACTCTCCGAAACCCTTTTATATAAATCAAAGAATGTTCTAGATACAATATTGTGTACAATAACAATATTACCATTGATTTCAATTAACGCGGGATTTACTTTAAAAACCGTTTAATGGGTTAATATAGATCATGCCATAATATTATGCTTACTAAGACAACATGTTTTTCTCCTTTTAACAATAGTAATACATACTTACAATTCTAGGAAGAATACAATATAAATAATTTATTGCTACTTCAGCAATAAGGTATAAAGTGTGTTTGGTATGTGTCAGAGACATATTTAGGATTTAGTGGAAAGCTAGTCCAAAATATCACACTACACGTTAAGCGCCTAACTATCGACTAAAAAAAAATCCACACAACGCCACTAATGTGAAATAAGGTAACTGAAGGGCCCCACTTTAGTTTAGGATTCCCACTTCTTATTTTAACTTAATTATTGCAATAGTAAATCATTCGATTACGTACAGCATAATTATATTTAGGCGTCACTTGACAATAATTGTTATTAAAACAGATATGGAATTCAAATTTCACGTACCGGAATCGACATCATATAAAGGCCATTTTGGATTTCTGTGGCAACACTACTTGGTATACGGTTAGGTTATTGTACTAGCACTTTGACTCATGCCTCATAGAGGCGAGTGTCTTAAACATGTTGACTTTAAATATGTCTAATGACATATTATTATAAATTTAAAAATTGGATATCAGTGGTCAAAGTTAGAATACAAATTGTTACGATTATTTAAAAAATATGTTACATATATATATATATATATATATGTACTTTACAAACGAGAAAATGTAAACATTCCTTGAAAAGATTCGTCAAGTCGAGTGGTTTGATAAACAACCGGTGCGAGTGGCGTATTTGTTTGTTAGAATTATAGTCCCTTTTTCATTTTTGCGATAGGGTTTTATGCGCGAACACTGACGTCAAAAGATTTTCTTTTCTTTTCATTTCTTTAACAAATATCATCCTCGGAAACAAAATGAAACTGTCCAGGCCCTAATTTATTGTTTTAAAAATAAAATAAAAGACACTCTCTGCAAAATTCATTCACACCATTTCAGCAAACCAAAATTGTTGTTGTAATTAATAAAATAAAAAACTCCTCTCATTATTATAGTCGTGTATTTCGGGATCGTTCTTTGTGTCTAATGGTAAAACGTTTCCATTACATTTTTGTACGTTTATACATTATCAACTATCATGTGACAAAGCAGAATTGCATAATGTCTGGTGTCTAAAAAGGTACCTACCGTATTAACATTCTAATTATTTCAAAATAATATCACACATTAACTAAAACCAGATAGTGCACTACCTGAGCAATGTAATTATAGCAACATCCCAATACTTCTTTCTCCGCATTTTTTCTTTTATGTAGATATAGATTATGAAAGAAAAGACCAAATAGTTTATTAAATTGATCATACAATTTCATTACCAATTACCTACCTACTTCTAGTCTTATACAAAAGAGGTTTGTGCAGTGGTTAATAAATTACCTTGTTCACAGCCACAAAAAAATTGTAAAATCAATACCTACCGTCTGAGCTTCACATAATGCTAAAATTGATGTACAAAACGTCTATTTCTATAAAATAATAATTAATTTTTTCAGTCTTTACTCTTTACAAAAAACAAACTACTCACCAAGTCCCTAGAGTTAATTTTAAAGGACAAATGCCAAAACCACAAGCATTGGATAATTGCTAATTATGTAAGCGCGTTTATAAGAAATGACACACTTTCATAACTACGGTGGAGGTGAATACCATTGTAATACTGAAAGTTTATAATCCTCGAAAAACTTAACACAGTAAACTTCATATACTTACATAAATTTGAATACTTTTAACAATAACCAGGTCTTATATTATATGTTATTATTATTGGTTGGTATCGAAACTTACTAAACCGCTTGTGCATTGTGTAAACGAATAAGAAACATAATATTATTTTGCATACCGATAAAGGATTATAACTTTTTCTTCAAATGCCACGGCGAAGATAGAGGGAACGTACATTGTTGCTACAAGCTGCGGAAAAAGATGATTTGGTATACATCATATTTTATGATCAGTATATACAACAAAAACAGATTCCGGCGTTTTTTTTTATTAAGTTTAGTGTTTTCGTGCAAACATGTTAAATCAGAAGACACAATCAGAGACAAGTCCGTTAGTGTACACAATATGTGCAACTAAAACTTTTGTAACTTTCAATAAGATTGATTTATTTTATAAATACAATAGATCATAGATCCACTTCATAACAACTTGCATAAAAAAAAAGCTAGGTAAAAATAGGTTCGGGGTACACATGCTTTTTTTTTGGCTTTTTAATTAGTTTGATTCGGTTCAAAATTGGCATAATATGTCTTTGAAGCTAAGAAATAAAATAAAAACTTCTTTTCTCTATAAAGAAGAAAGGGAATTCAATTAATCTTTGTGTCTAGTCGGCAAAAAAAAGAAAAACGTAATAAACGTCTTCTATAATTTAACATTTTTTTTTTGTTTTTGGGGAATTTACAAACAAAACAATCAGACTTTCCTGGTTTTTGTGGATGATTCATGACAGTGAATAGTTTGTATGACTACTAGTAACAGTAAACATTGGCAATTTTTCTGCTAACATAACATAACAGACCTATTCTTTAAGACAAAATGAAATTTTAATTTTTAACGTCCCGTCTGTGGATACGATTTACTATACAATTGATAATGTTCTACATAGTTATTAGTATTTTGTACGTTGATATATTATGTATTTTGTCAGCTAATCTCATCAACATCGGTTTTAATGTGAGTAATACTTTTATAGTATGCGTGCGCATGATATAGATATGCCGGACGAATAAAGTAGGACGGTAATTATTATTTTGATTTGGGCAATTTAAAGGGATGCGCGTCGACAAATCCACACAACCCTTACCTTCCGCTCGTTACATATATACCGGTGTGTTATTAACGCCACCGCTCGCATAATATATGTGTACCGTTTATGTATATATATTATACAAACGTGCACATTTTATACTACATATGTAAATATATATATATATATATATAATCGTACCTGTGTCTCCGTTGTAATTAATATCGTCCCCGTCCTCTCGGCGCCACATCACATACGGTTCGGGGTATCCGGACGCTTTGCATATTAAAGTGGCATTACTCGCTTCTCGCACGACCATGTCCGTGCTGGTCTCCTTGTCCACAATGCTCGGCGGAACTTAAAAATAACAATTTGTATTATAATTGTTATGAAAATATCATCGAATCATGTGTTAGGTACATTTTATACATCGGCGCTAATATAGAGAACTCCGTGTAGTTGGGAGTGTAAGGCGAAGAAGAAACAGGGCCCTTCGGTTGTGTACTTACTCGAGCGGATACCACCGTGGGACTATAGTTTTACTATTTTGCGCCGATGTGTTTATTTATTTAGTTTATTCTGTTGCATACCGACTACTTGCAAATATCCCTGTCGGCTTCGCATCGGGTCCGTGTTCACCTGACACATGTACCAGCCCCGGTCTTCCTCGTGCACGTCCCTGATGTGCAGGTACCACGACCGGTGATCGTTGTACGACAGAGTCACTCTGAGATTTTGGGTAATCACATTGTGGTGAATAGACAAAATAGTCTGTGTGTCCACTCGAACCCATGCCACCTGCAAAGCGCACCACACAGTCAGATAACGTCATCCGGATATAAGTTCTACTACATTAAACCAAAACTTATATCAAATATTCTTGAGTAATAGGTTATGCGACCAGAGAAAATTTGTTTTTCAAGTTATCATCACAAATATTAACCTAGTCAAACTAGCATAGTTGTCCACGGAGGAAGTATATTTACAGTTTAATCGAGCTTGTTTGTAATCCTCCTTGCATGCGTTATATAGAAGCTTTACCACTAGATAAAGGAAACTTTTTGCAGGCCATCAGCAGCATAAAGAACGATGGCAAAAAAACCTTTTTTCGGGCCAATTGACGCTGATAGTAAGTGCATTTGTTAAGACTGTAATGGTCATAGTAAGACGTGAGGCTATGAAGAAAACGACAATAGTCAAGACACCATTTTAGAATGGAATTCAATCTATAATATACAGCTCAAAATATTATTGGTACATCGCCTAAGACAAAGAAACGTTCCACTCAGTTCGATAGTTAAAAAAATACACCCCGCATACAGATGAAAACGATACATTTTAATAAGGTACACAATTAGTACAATGTAAAACATAAATAACATTCAAATACTTGTAATTCGGTTTACTCCGCTGACAATTTATCAACGTTGAAGTGTATTACAACGTTTGCCTTTATTATCTTTAATAATCAAAACACAAACAAAACAAGGCCCCGCTGTTCACTTATTCTGTGATGTTTACAGAGGAAAATTTAATTATATTCCTATCGTCATGGCCAAGTGATAAATTGCCCGAAAAAACATGTCAAAAGTAATTAATAACCAGCTGTTATTAGGGCTCTCTATTTCACGTGAAATCAATATCCATTTTTTAAAAAAGCACGCGATTTAAAATTCACCGCTAATTTAAAACATATATAGGTAGCAATATAAGTTATTTTATTTTATTTTTGTTATAGGATAAAGACTAAACGCGTAGTCCCTTTCAATTTTTATTAATATTTAACTACTATGACAGAAGAGTATGCTTATTGGTATATTATCCATTGAAAAACAATTGTTTGCGAGCTTCCCCCGTTTATATTTTCTAAACCCGAGTTAAAGACGATTATCATTAAATTTTAAGCAATCAATAATAGTAATTATTAACAAACCGTACATTTGTATTTAAATAAATCACAATTCTCTCTGGTCGTCGACGTTAACAAATTAAACTCGAATCAATCACGCCGTCTTAAGTCTTACTTACCTTATACCCGCGAAGATTGTCGACGACACACGCCAACAGAGCATCCCGCCCCACGCTAACCGTCACGTTGGGTATAGGCTCGGCAAATCTGGGCATTGAATGTTCTGCAACATTGTGTAAAACAATAGTTCATTAGCATGTTATTACTTCAGTAATCATTTCGTTTAATTAATATACCTTTTGTTAATAGAGCCGTTAATGTAATCGGCTGAAGGATATAAATTCTAATAAAACCACAACCAATAGTGGCGGTATTACTTTTTTATTTATAATAAACATCAGTTAAGTAGGTTAGCTGAGTAAGGCTGTGGGTTGTGTACAACTCATACAATTTTAATACTTTTCCTATGTTAGAAAGGAATCTTAATTATGTTTTAAGTTTAAGTGACTGCTAAGTTATACCTAAGCCAGCGTGAAATATGTTTTTTAAATAGCGGCTAATTCATGTTAACTGGGTGTGCAATGAGTTATATTTGAATAATTAAAAAAATCCAACACTTTCAACATGCCGTTTTATTTGACTAAACTACGGAATAATTGTTAACTGCGTAACTTCCATTTGGTATTAACTCGGTGGCTAGAAGAGCACAATAAAGTATGTATTTATTAGTCATTACTACTTATTTTAATGTATCCGTTCCTTATATACTTAAGTGTTTTCTTTGTGGAGTCATGTCCACTTTATTAACGGTCATCCATACTAGGTATGTATTCAAGAGCTTTGTTTTTATAATCTCAGTAAATTAATAATACCGGTTATAAAACAATTGAAAATAATTTAATTGTTTTTAGAACATCGGTAGCTGTACAGGTTTTCATTCAAAACTAACTTAACTGCATTAAAAAAAAAATATATATATATATATATATATCAAATTCAGAGTAGATGTATTTTTAGAGTTAGTACTTATCTCGACAATTACACCAAAGTATAGTAGTAATTACTCGATGTTACACAATTAGAGTAGTAAACAGATGGGTGAAATTAAAAAACTTTTAATATTTTTAATCAAATTTTATAAGAGAAAAAATAATTCAAATAAAAAAGAAAAAATGCAATTTCATTTCTTCAACAAAAATCTATTTAAACGAAAAAAATTATTTTTGCTATTATGCAAAACTTTACTTCAGGAAGAACAAAAAAATGATATCATAAAATCTTTCTAAAATGTTTTTCCAAATGAATTTCATTTGTAAGCTATTTAAACTTTATAAATTGCTGATCTGAGGAATCGCACCAATAAAATTTTAAGTACAGATTAAAAGTACATTAATTGTTAAATTTAACAATGGAATTGTTTGTAAATATTATCTTAGTTTATTATAATTATGACATTAATGATTATTATTTTACGTTATTATTAAATACCACAAAAAATAAAAAGGGATTGTTTTAACTTGTAAGTAACGAATTCCAATACACCTAGTTAGTTGTCAATGGCATCAGCGCTTTTGGAAATTTCGATGCATAGTTGAGAAGGTATTGTTTTTATAGGTAATGATGTGTTTTTTTTTGTACGATATCTTCTGAGCCACTGAACTGATTTCTTCGTGTAGCAACTCTATAGCTCATAAATCGTACCTGTAAGGTACATTATTAGACCAACAATTTAAAAAGTTTATCTCTTCCCCTTTAATATTGAGAAAAACAACAAACAATGTACATATTTTTCAACTTAAGACTATGGCGCTCTATAACTATTTTTTTTAAAAATAGGTCCAAAATTTGTAAAGGATATTCTTAAGACTTAGTGCTGCGGATAAACATGACAACCCAAGTAAATATCTAAAAGATATAGACTTTTTTCTTTATTTCACTTTACCAAGCAAAGTTTTAGGGATTTAGATCTGAAAATTAGACCGAAGGTGGAATTAGAATGGGGCTACTATTCCATACACATTCTTTTTAAAAATCTGTAGCCAGACTTTTTTTTTTTTAAGGAAAACTCGAAAAATAGGGGAATATTACACATTGACCGAAGTCAGTTTCCAGTTGAAAATATTTTTATTACAATATTGTTAATAACGACGAATGGACAAATATGGCAATACATTTTTATAGACAGACGATCAGCCTTAATCGTATCTACCCTAATACAACAAATTAGTTTTTAAGAACATAATTATTATTATAAATAAAATGTTTTTTATCGATATTTTTATTTTTATTTGCGAACACTGGACCTCCCTTACTTAATCACTTACTTATAATACTTTCTTGCTGTGCCGGTTTATACTGTGCATGGTTTGGACTGTACTGGTTTGTACCTACTGCCCAGTGTCCACAGATTAGCATTGACCTTTTGTCGTTTTCGTTTGGGTCCATAACGACCCACAGCCCTATGGAAAGTTTAAGAATTAGAACTTCCTGGTTGTTAATCATATCGTCGACGCTGAGAAAGAATACAATAACGATGACCGACAGCAATAGGCGATGATTGTGACTATGATTATTATTATTGGAAAATTGCCGGAAACCGTGTTTCGAAAGTTGTGACCGACGTGTTAAAAGTTTCCAGCCAAGTACGGTCCATAAAAGTTGCTCTAATAATAAGGCGACACTAGATGATCGAACAAGAGGAATAGTATTATTATTATACATATACAATATACATAAATTGTATTGTCGAGTGTGTCGTTAAATTGCGGTCGTTATGTGCCGAGCTTAGAATATCGCTGAGTGCTCCGGACACGCCATATTACACTACATCACATAACGTTTCAACAAATTAAACCGTTTTATTATTTTCAATTAAACGTTCCCTCGCTCCATTTTTATTTTTTAAAGTTGGCAGTCCATCCGGCGACGTTACCCGACTACGATTATTTGCCGTTCAAATAAACTGTGCCTCTGAATACCAATTACCCGCGAGTGAATGAAATAATATCCACAACGACGGTTATAAGATTTTCTGAAGTAAAGTTTTAAAAAAATCAATACACCCAAACTACGCCTATAAAATCCGTGATGCGTTTTCTTTGAATTCGTTCGCTATATATTCATAATATGATGTTCGGGGGTGCACTGCCGGGGGTGGCAGACCAGTCAAGTTTTCAGCTGCAAAATATAATAACATAAATAACAATAGTCGTCAACTGAATCACGTCCGGATCGACGCCAACAGCTATATTGAACCACATTATTCACATAATATATTTACACACCATGTTCAAACTGATAAATTTACTAAACCCATAATATATAAGATTTATTCAACCATCGACAAGTATTTATTGAACAAAATCAATTTCTTGTAGATTTAACCTATAGACTTGTTGACTCGTTTCTAGTTTTACTAATAATAAGGATTTCAAAATGTATGCAATGGCTGTAATATTATTGTAACAATTATTTTATCTAAATTATTATTATTTTTTTTTTTTTTTAACAATTTCTCAATTTTGCTATCAATTTTATCTGTACTTTGAGTTTCTAAAATGGTAATTATCTACACGTTATGTTTGATCGTGACGCGACAACAAAAGAAAAATAACTTTATTTATGAAAAAGTGGAATCCCATTAAGTTTTATAAGGTACAAAGTAAACGCAGCTACAGATAAAATCGAAAGAAACGAGATGAAAAAGTTTAGCTTAGCGACTACATTATATTTCCACTGTTATGAGGTGTTTGATATAAAGAAACATCAAGCATGTTCTTTTGGCTGTCGTTGAAATATTGTATTAAAAACTTATTAAACTATCCTTGGCGATAATTTAATTCATTAATCAGGGGATGGGGTTGTTTTATTTTTATTATTAATTACTTTTTATACAACAAGATGTTTTTCGAGATTAATTTCCTACGCTGGGATTTCGCTTTGGCGAGTTTTTCCTTCTGTAGCTCTCGCCTATGATCTTGCCATCAACCTTCCTGTCGTTTGATACTTCCACCTATCCGCACAGTTTTCCTTAACTTTTTTCATTAAATTTTGCCCGGCAAACACCGGAAAATAAATCGTCAAAAGAAACCGGAGAAATGGCTTAATCCATCAGGCGGATGAGTTTTTGGGGAACTGCCCAGCCATAATATTTTTCCAGCACCGCAAAGACCAAACCATAATAATTATTGCGTGTAACCTTTGACGCGTAATGGTCGTTAACAGAGTTGCATTTTATTACACCAATCGCCAACATCGTTATAATCTATTTATACCATGTAATTATATAAACCCGTCTTAATCTGCATCATTGTAAAATATATTGATCCTAAAAAGAAACCTCATTATAAAAAATAGATGTAAGTATATAAAATATTGTTCGGTCAAAGTAAAACGCAATAACTATACACCCAAGTCTGCTGCAAAAAAATGACATCACAACCGCGACCAGTGTAGTATTTTCCACTAAGTCCTGTTTGTAACACTTAAGAGTCCCGATCGAGCCTCTCATATCTTTCTCGTTTTGGAATCTCATACCGGAAGATGATCACATGATTCATTTTCGTTTAGATTATGCTTATGTGACAAATACACGAGTTTAACGATGAAAAATACACAGTGATGTTGAGGACGGGAATTAGTAAAAAAAAAGGCAGCTGTTGACTACTTGATATTATATGCAGGGAACTGAGAATGTCATCTATCTAGTCACAACATATTATGGTTTATCTGTTTTATGGCCAGTTTTATAACATCAATTTAGAGTGTCGTAGAAGACCGAGCTCTATGGAGGTGAAGGACTAGGGTGGCCGACCTCATGTAGTTGGGAGTGTAAGGCGAGGATAAAGAAGAAGAAGAATTTAGAGTGTCGTCATTAAATTCTTACAAAATATAGAAACTACACGTCATAATATAATACATCGTCTTGCCATTGTCGTTTAATATAGCAGACACTGTGTAATGGTAGGCCATTGATGTATGAATTATAATATAAAATAATTATTTTATGCATAATAAAATTATGGCTAGGCATGGGAACCAGACCGATTATCATTTTGGCGATCATAGCTGGCAGGCTTATCGTCCAAGGCCTAAGAAAGGGATTGGGGTAGTACTTATAAATAATAACAATAAGTGTTTGTAGGAATGCATTCATGCCAAATGACTTGGATGCGCCAAGAATAACTAAAGGCGACGGGACAATATAAATGAAAAATGCCGAAC